AGATGAACGGCGTGTAGCGGCAAAACATCGAGGGCCTAGAAAAGCCGGGCGCATCGTCCGCAGTTCCTTCCCTGTCTAACGGATTAAGTTCCAGCGCCGCTATCCGACTCATGGCTTCATCAAACTCTCTGCGGTGCTTGTTCCACGGAGCCTGATAGAGTAGGTCCTTTGCCGTCTGAATCGGTCTGAAATTCAAGTCGCGCCTTTCAGATCTATAGGTTGACCATCTTTGGGTCACATTCTCCTCTGTGGCAGCTTGCCTCACTGGTTCGGATTCTACTCCATCGAACCTAGAGCCATCAGCTGTGGGAAGTTATCACCTGGCCACCCTTTCCCTGATTGATCAAACGAAGCCGAGCTGCACTTAGCAGGGCGCGCTACACGGTCAATGGCCTGCCCGCTCCATATCCGTGTGGGCCATGACGGTGCGCTTAATCCCCCTGCTGCTGTGCCTGGCATATTCGTTTAATCAACAAAGAGGAAAAGACTATGACAGGTACACTTAACAAAACCATGATTCTCGGCTATCTCGGTGGTGATCCCGAAATTCGGATGACGGAGAGCGGCCGCGAAATAGCGCGACTTACGGTTGCCACCAACGAGCACTATACCGATGCTCAGGGCCAGAGGCAGAAAAACACCGAATGGCATCGTCTGGTCGTGTTTGCTGACGGCCTGATATCCAAGGTGATCAAGCCTTATCTCAAGAAGGGAAGCAAACTTCTGGTAGAAGGTCGCAACGCTACCCGCAAATACACCGACAAGAACGGTGTGGAGCGCTATAGCACGGACGTCATCGTCCGCGGCATCACCCTGCTAGATCGTCAGGCAGGCAGCCAGAATTAACTCATACTCCGGGGTTGGCTGCTCGCTGGCCGCTGGCCCCGGAGTCTCAATCCCATATATGGAGGAGGAAAATATGGACATCCAAACACTTACCGACCGACTATTCCACGGCGACAGCATCAAGCTGATGCAACGCATCCCCGCTGGCAGCGTTGATCTGATCGTTACCGATCCGCCCT